GCGACTACAAAATCCCCAGTGGAATTAAAATCAATGTTGGGTTATGGTCCCAGGTTCGAAAGGTGAGGCATTGTCGGAAGTGTGAGGCTTCCAGAAAGTAGTCAAATCATCTATTCGTGTTTTTTTAACAAACTCGTTATTGGCATAAACTTTTAAAAAGATGTATACTTAAACCAGCCTGTTTTAACTTCACTGTTTTGTTTGAAATAACGTAATTAGGATTTTGTGGATCTCAGGTTTCTAAGCATTGAAATTTTTGAGCTTCATGATTAACAAAACTGGCAATAGATAACAGCATAAGCAACCTTAGTTAAATATATTTTGATACATTTTCCTAAGACAAATTTAGCCATGTTCAATACGGCATTACATGTAAACGTCTGGAATAATTGCAGTGTTTTTCCAAGCAGGAGGCATGAGATTACTATAATCCATAGCCTTGACCACAGTATTAATTAGCATGGCTCACTAACCAGGGACGTAATATTTGTAAATGAAACTCTAGAAGGGCATCAGTAAGGAACAGGATGTTGAAGCCAAATGGAAAACATGAACCAATAAAAAGGCTGAACTAGCTAGAAGTGCAAGCTCAGCCTTTGAAGTTAGTTCAAGTACTGCATGCTTTAATTTTGGTGTAATCTTATGATGGGGGTACAAACAAGAACTCAGAAACAGATTTTGTAACATTTGGCCCAATTGTAGATGAATCAGTTTGTTGATGGTTACCAACAATTGCACAGCCAGAGAAGCTGTGGTCTTTGTTAAATTAGATTGAATAATTGGCTTCAGTGGGAGTTTCGGGTGCAGAGCAAATGAAGTGTCACGGCCCTTGACTGTCGTAAGATTCCTTAGCAGAGGCTAAGCTTTTGCGTTCAGAACAACCTGAATATGGATTCAGAGAAAATAAGTCCCTCAAGAGTTCATTTATTCACTCCTCTGCCCCAATATAGGTCTGAAAATACGTAGTCACTCTGGGCAGATGTGCGTATGTTATCTGTTTTTAGAACCCCTCTGATGACAATCAGGATACCAAAAGCTCTCTGGGCAGTTTGTTTCCAATGTTTAACTATTGTCTCGGAATACAATCTGTGATTAGTACTACATTACCTTGGCAAGCCCAACTAAGCCTAGGTATTTCTGTGTGTTGATTTTGCTTTGCTTTGTTGTTGGTTTGTTGTTTTTTTTAATATACTTTCACATGGAGCTGCAGTGACAAAGCAGTGCTGCTTTCCTGGTGTTTCAAGCAGGGGGTAAAAAAAAAAAAAAAACCTGTTTTTGTCCTTTGGACAGCTTTCTGAAGGCCTACTACTGCCAGGTGCGGAGCACCTCTGAAGATGTGAATTAAGGGAATGAATTTCAATATATTCAGCGAATTTCAGGATCAAGCAGCCAGGAGTTAAGACAATTTTGAACTGGAAGATGAACACAGTCATACACACTCTCCATTTTTAGGTCAAGCATTCAGTTCATTAGTTTGAAAATAGTAAGTTATCGTAGTCTTTAGTGAATGGCCCAACACATGCTGATAATTACTTTCTCATTTGGGAGAAAAAACAGGGAAAGTTAATTTTTTTTTCTTGCATATGCTTTCTAGAGGAAAAAGAACTCTCATAAAATGCATTTATTTTCTCTTTCCAGCAGCCATGCAGACCTCTGAAAAGAGCCATATTCCTTAACAAAGTAGGTGTAATGGCTCTATCCTCTGGAATGCAAGTGGGTACAAACACAAACATTTTAATGAAACGTGAAGACCTTCATTTTAAAAAAGTACACAAAAGAAAATGGTTGGAAAATTGTATTAGGAAAAAGATTATATACACCAAATTTAAGCCCTGTGTGATTATGACAGTAAAATAGTTTACCAAACAAGGTAATTTTATGCACATACATATATAGTGTGTGTATATATATGCACACAAGCACACACAAACCCATGAAGTATAGATTTTTATAGACATGTATACATGCCTATATACACTTACAAAACCATAAAGGTGTAAATTCCTCTAGAGACATGACCAATTCAGTTCCTAAAATATCTTTTTCAGGAAAGAGTTGTAAACCAATCAGGGTCTGGGGTTTACAAAACCAATACTGATCAGCTGGGCCTCGCAGTGGGATGAAATTCATTTAGTTGCCTACAGGTGAAAACTAGTAAGAATGCTAAAACTTGTTGATTGCATTTACCAGGCCATAAGCACCATGGCCTGTTCTAATGAATATTTCCAATGAAATCTCTGTATTTACTGACTTTGACAGATGGGGAATATTGCATAAGCTATTGTGTGCCTGTGCATTCCTTGAGTGTGATGCTGTGTTTTTTTCTTGCTTGCCTTGTCATTTGTTTCATTTAACTTTCTCATTAATGGCACAATTGCTTTGCTTTGTTCAACAATCCTTTTCTGAGAAGCGAGTATTACTTTCTTTTTAAACTTCTTGCCAACAAAAGATTTTCAAACGCATATGGTACAGAGGAATCATGTACAAGATTGTTTTAGAGGAAAAAGAAATATCTAAAATTAAAAGCACAAATCCACTTACTACATTTCCACTTCTCCTTTGACATGAAAACTTAACATGAGAAATGCCCGCAGTTCATCAGCATACACTGAACAAATACATAATTAACGTGGAGTAAGCAATGCTGTTGTCAACGCTTTCACATATGGTACCATGGAACTAAAATATTTTAATTAGTAGAGAAATAGAGGAAAATGCAAGCAAATGCAGCATGTGCTTGACGTAGAAATTAGCTTGGCTCAATAAATATTAAAAATAAGAGAATCTCATCTATAGCTTGACTACCCTTACCATACTAGGACAGCTTAGTGGGTCCTGCATAGTTCCAATCTGCTCCTGCACTCTGGTAAATTATTACTTGGCAGAAAAGTACCCATTGTGGTCATTGTGCAAATGCTTCACTAAATCACTGGTAGAAATCAAAATGTGTGAGTTCATTAGTAGGTAGGTAGAAAGTGTCGATTTTGGTGTTTTGTATTAATCCAGTGTGTTGGACCGACAGAACCTTATTTGAAGGCTACGTAATAAGAGGGAAAATTAAAAAAACCCCCCTATATAGCAATACCATGTGGCTTCTGATTTGGGAACTACAATTTAGCCTATTAGACATGGACCAGTTCCAAAAGTGCACATTCAAACAATCATGCATGAAGGAGTTAGAAACACAGATGTGAATTATAACTCTCTGAAATCCTGGGAATGCTCCAAATCAGGCCATTAGACGTAGGTTTGAGCTGTGAGTACAGATCCAGATCTAAAATTTTTGTTCAAACTTTTCCCTAACAATTTTACAGCAACTACTGAATCTATTAAAACCAGCAATGTTCCATAAGCTTAAAAAAAATACCAGTTAACCCCATCTTAGCTGTATTCAGACATGATTCACAATGACTGACTAAAAGCATTTCTGTAAAAAGGCAGTGACAAAAATCACCAGTTGAATGTAATGGGACAGCTTAAACAGGTCAAATTCAAGCTGGGTTACTGCAGCTCCATTGGCCACATACAGCTACACAGTCATCGCTTTGGGCCAGCATTTAACATTAGAAACTTAAATAATTTAAGTAAATAATTTTCTTTTCCAAGTTTGGGACAGAACTGCGAAACATCTGGTCTCTTTTCAGTCATTTTTACACACACACACACACACGAGCTAAAGTCAATAGTTTTGACTAGAGCAATAGTGTTGGATGTGATCGAGGCTGGCCGTGTCACAAGTGGACAAGTGGTAGAGGGTAGAAAATGTCCGCAAGGCCGTCATACTGCGTAGGGCTAGAGGCACAGGAGGAGCAATGACGGGACACCTGCCGTTCTTCAGCACGCTCAACAGCAGGAGAGTCTCACATGTATGTAAGTACCCAGTTCCTTGATACTTTTATCTCTAGATTTCATTAATGCAGGTTTCTCTTTTATTAAGTCAAACATATTTGCAAAGTGAGTCACTGGTTCTTCTCGTGTAAAAGAAGTAGAAGGTGTGGCACACACCAGTCTGGCCTTGGCCACCCAGCACCATATAGTAAGAGAACTA